TGGGGGGGGGGGGGGGGGGGGAATTTCAGTGACCAAAGACTAAAACGGTCAGTTTTTTTAAAAAGTAATCATTTTGGTCACTTTCTTTTTGAGAGCCACGAGCCCAAACGAGCCGCCCACGAGCGGCTCGCCTCCTGGCGAGGCCCGCTCTGTTCACGCTCGGGCTCGTGATTTTACGAGCCCGAGCCACCCACGAACCCTATTTTGACGAGCTGAGCCGACGAACGGCTTAGCCCTTTTGACATCCTTACCTACAACAATGGGGACTGGCCAACTGCCTTCTCTCCCAACCTCCCTTTACCATCGACGATAATGGATTTTATTTCGAATATGGAACGAGATTTGAATATGATGAAATCAGAGAGCTTAGTCTAAGTAAGATTTTTGAAAATGTTTTGTGGTGGTACGATCATTTGAGTACTATAAGGTGGTGAAGGGGCAGCGGTGGTGTTGATTGTTGGGCTTATGGTAGAGATAGACGGTCGGATGATGATTTTTCTTGTTTTTTTGGTGGTGCGAATAGCCAAATTGGTATTGATGGTTAGGGCTTGGTGGATTGGGTTTTGTCATAGAAAAAGATGAAGAGGTAGGCGTTGGTGGTTGATATTTCGACGTCAACCATGCTTCTTGAACAATGACTTTTTCTTTTTTTTTCAATCACTTTTTAAAAAAAAAAAAAAAAACTATTCCACCCATTATTATTTCCAAAAAATAGGGATCAAACAAGGGCTATGTGTTACACGGGTGGTGTGTAACATGTTGTGATACAATTGGCGATGGTGGCGACAACAGCAATAGCATTGATGATGATAGAGAAATATATGGCAAAATTTGTCCAAGACATTTTGTTACAAGTGATGTGACGATGATAATGGCAACAATAGGGTGGTGAGATTTGTAATGTAGTTTTACAATTTAAAACAAAAAAAAAAGAAGGTATTTTGAGAGTATGTTTTTTATAAAACTAAGTCATCGTTCAATTTTCATTCTTTGGCCACAAAAATGAAAAATATGACCGTTATCCATCATATCAAACCATCATATTTGACTTTCTATCTCTTGTGTGGACCCCATAACGATTATATTTTTCATTTTTATTTTTACAAAAAAATGGATACGAAACGACGCCTAGGTATGAAATTAATAAATTCTTTTAAATTTTAATGCTTGCGTGACTTGTTCCAAGTTTTACAAACTGCATCTAATCCAAAGGCCAATTAGCAAATAAGGTGATACCCTAAACCTTGAGAAGTTTCTAGATTTTTCTGACAAAATATCTGAATTTCTAGATTTTCCCGACAAAATATCTGAATTAGCCGTGAACTGTCCCACAATATATCAGTCCTGCACCTCCGAGGAAACTTCTAACTAAAAAGTAAAAAATAAAAAATCGAGAATATATAAATTAGTAAATTACAGACCAAGGTCTCCCATTTTCAATTTTCGTCTTCTTTTCTCAAATTTTCTAGAACTTCCACTCCACTACCTTGTATAAATATCTTCCTCCCTCCCTGAATATCTAATTCTTTATAGAAAATTCAATAATCTTGCACCCTGACAAAATATATTAGTGTACTTCAAGAAACTTAGTGAAATCAATGGATGGCATGGTAGAGAAGCTGAAAGAGGAATTCACAACAACCGACACCGGTACAGTGTCTGCACGGCCAATGGAGGGGTTGCATGAGGTGGGTCCACCGCCTTTTCTGATCAAGATTTTTGAGATTGTGGAGGATTCTTCGACAGATGCAGTGATTTCTTGGAGCAGGAGTAAGAACAGTTTTATTGTGTGGGATTCTCACAAATTCTCCACCATTCTTCTCCCTAAGTACTTCAAGCACAGCAATTTCTCTAGCTTCATTCGCCAGCTTAACACATATGTAAGTTTTTCAATAACCCATGAAATTTCATACTGATTTCTTTTTCTTTTTCATTTTTATTTATTTTTTTATTTTTTGTTACACTTGACATGGGTTGATTTTGATTTCATGTTTTTGCAATTGCCATGGTGGTTCTGATATGTTAGCTGTTTCCGGTAGAAACAAGTTAGGAATTTTTTTTTCCCTCTGTTTCCGATGATTATGAATCGTTTGAAATATGTTTTGATTTTGGATTTTATAACAACTCAATAATTGAAACATGTAGGGTTTTAGAAAGGTGGATCCCGATAGATGGGAATTTGCTAATGAGGGATTTTTGGGAGGACAGAAGCATCTTTTGAAGTCGATCAAGAGGAGAAGAAATGTGATGCAAAGCTCGACTTCGCAAGGTGGAAATTCATGTGTTGAGTTGGGGCATTTTGGTGTGGGAGAAGAAGTCGAAAGACTGAAACGTGATAGGAATGTGTTGATGACGGAAATTGTGAAACTGAAGCAGCAACAGCATAACTCAAGGGAGCAGATCATGGAAATTGAAGAAAGAATTTGCAGCACTGAAAGGAAGCAACAACAAATGATGAGTTTCATCGCTAAAGCCTTCGGAAATCCGATGTTTGTCCAGCATTATATGGATAAATATGCTCAGAAGCAAGAGCGCTTAGAAATTGGGCAAAAGAGGAGACTCTCTATGAGTCCAAGTGTCGAGAATTCGCAGGATGCTGTATCCGTTGCCATGGGCATGAATCCGTGTTCGAACCATACAAGTCAAGAAGAAGAGGAGCTTGCTAACATTCAATTAGAGATAGAGGCGTTGTTTTCTGATCCTAAGGACACTAAATCAGGGACTGGCCCCTTGGCTAGTGGCACCGGGTTGAATTCTATTGCTGATAGTATGTTGGAGGAAATGCTTGGGGAAGATCTCATTGTTGGCTATGAAGCCGAAAATTTTTTGGCAGCCAATGAACCATCAGTTGCAGAAGTGGAAGATTTGATAGCAAAAACACCAGATTGGGGTGAGGATTTACAAGATCTTGTAAATCAATTGGGAGATCTTTAGTTGAAAGTTGAAAACCATAAATGTTCTGTTACTACGATTCTTTGATTCTCATGGCCTCCACAAAACACTTCCTGTTCCTCGTATTGAGTACAGATTATGATTAATCATTCATTTGATGGTTCTGTTGTTATATTAAATATAGCTGATTTATATCTCGTCTCTCTTGTATCAGGGGACGCGAAGGTTGAAAGGAGGCCAAGAATTGATCTTGCTCTTATGTATCCTTTCAACAATGAAGATTAGATGTTTTTTTATAATCTTTTAATTCTATTCTGCAGATATCTTATGGTAATCAGTTGAAGTTATTATTTCCACCTCTAAGAAAATTTAAAGACATCTGTTGAAGATGGTTGTCTGTTACTAATCTGATTTTAGGCTCATATTCCAAATAACATGGGCTTGCATTCCATTTGAGTTTGGCTGTGGATAATTTCGTCTGATGGTATTGGAGTTTAGCTAAGCTGCTTCCTTCCCTCAGAGGCTGCTACTTGTGAATAATAGATGCATACACATGTAAGAGCTGGGTATATAGATTGATATAAAAATCTGAAGGATTTTTCTTATTTTCGCTTGTTTGGTGAGGTATTATACCGGCTCACTGCATTATTACGAAATCTTGTCTGTTGTAGTGAAGTCTTATCTTCTTGGAAAGAATAATTTGCTGAATCGATGCTTTGTAGTGCAGCTCCTGGAGGCATTGGTACAAGTGGGCTAGTGGTTAAGGGCAGCGCGATTGTTGTACCCTGTGCCTGGTGGTTTGTCCAGGAAAATATGGTTAGTACATTTTTACTTATTTCTGTTTTGCATTATTATGATCAGGAGAATGAATGCATTATGCAGCTGTAGCTGATATGAACCTGTGGCTGATAAGAGTTGATGACTTAGGGCCTGTTTGGTAGAGTTTTGCTTTTGATCCTTGTAGAAAAACCTTATGAGGAAGCTATTTTAAGCCAACTTCATCCACAAGCATTGAAACATGTTCAAAAACTTCTTTTTTAGGTTTAGAAGTAGCTTTTATCTTTTCAGAAGTCAAGTCCAATGAGCCCTTATATTGCTTAGGTAATGTATTGGAAAAGAGGAAGAAATTTTGCAACATGATTTTATAATACATTGAGTTTGCAGAGGACAGTTGAACATTGAAGAGAAGATTCAGAGTGTAAGGCAAAGGTCACACAATATTAAATCGAGAAGCAAGATAATCGAAATCGGCCAAAAGTAAACAGTGCAGAAAATTAAAGAATCAACACAAGATTTCTTTCGGCCTAGGTCCCGAAGGTTCGGCGACCACATCTAACGCCTACATCCCCCGTTGAGCATCCAACAAGTTGGATTACGCTCGGTTGCACTATAATAGCCAAAAATGGCAACGAAGAGGTACAAATGTTCAACAAATACAACGAGATAAAGCAATGATACTTATCTCTCCAGATCGACTCAACACCTTCGAAGAATCACAAAAAAAATTCACTGCATCCCTCTCAAAACATCACAACTCAAGAGGACAAAAGATATTGCAGATAATCATTCAGAATATCTAATCGAATCACAAAGACTTTCTTTTAAGGCCTCAAATCAGAGATTTGAGCCAAATAATCGAGCAGAAGAAACCCAAACCAGACGAGAGGTTTTTCTCTCTCTCACAAAGAACCAAGAGTCAAACGCGGTATGGGAGTAATTGCGTGCCAAGTGAAATGGCACGATAATAATAGAGGTTCCAGATTCAATCCAACAGTCATGGTTTAGCAACGTGTCTCCATCCAATTGAAAGTGTCATTTTAATAAAGTTATAGTTTCACAAACACGACTTTCCAATATCATAAAATTCTGGAAGCATACAATTACGGTTCGAGTCTCACATAGAGCTTGGATTGGACTGAACAATATTTGGCCTTTCATATTGAAAAAGTAAAAGGAGGTCATCCATTAGCCATTGCATACTTCATTTTGTTCTCTCCGATGTGATGATGTGCAGATCATGCATAGGTGGCAATGACGTGGCAGTACGTGTGGCATATGCTGTTGGGTTTCCACCTCATTTGTGGACCAAATCAAAGCCCCAAGTGTGAGACAACATTGAAGTAGGGATGTACAGTAACGTTCTTGAACGCTATCCGTTTCGCTTCTGATACATTTTGATATCGATTACGTATTTGAAGGAAATTGATCCGAGAACTTGGCGAATATTTTAGATTCGAGTATTTATGAATTATCAATAATTTTTGAAAGATAATATTGTGTGTCAATTGATTGTGGTATTATTATTTATTTATATTAACCTAATGTTTGTAGCATTCTTGTTTCCTATTTTTTTTTTCTCTGGAAATAACATTTTCATGGGTCTGATCGCTTTTCATTTCTGTTTTCGAGCATAACGAGACTAATGGCGAATTTGACATCTGCAAAACTTTTTATGGTAGTTCACTATATTTTTTATAATATTTTTTCATTGATTGTTCTTTAAAAAACTTACCAAATCATTACACAATCTATGAATGTGAACAGAATTGAATAAACACCTTTGAATATGAACTTTTGTAATGTCATCAAAATTCATCAGTGATTAGTCATAAACATTGTGAAAAGTAAAATAGTTAATAGAAAATTGTGGAAAGAAGAGTGTTTAATTAGATATTTAACTCAATATTATTATCTTAGGTATTCTGATTATTGAAGTGCATCGTGCTCAATTCAAATCAAGAATCTTTAATTGAGTCGAGAGGATTGATAATCTTTATATGAGTTGTAAAAAATAAAAATAATGATGCTCATTATTTCAAAGTAAATTACTCAAGTGCTAGACAATAAAACTAATTACATCGATAAATTGCATAAAAATACACACTATATATTGATACATTAATATCTCATTTAATTAAAGTAATTCGAGTACATATGATATGATTAAATATAAGGGTAAAAGTGTTGTGTTAAATATAATTTTGGTCATTGTGCTTTCTACAATGTTTTTTGTTGATAATTTATTTTTCATAATATTTCTAACTAGCTACTGAGCCTCATGACATGGTGAAAACTAGCAATAATTAGGTGCCACGTATGAATATCCGTTTTCCATGTCATTCATTTTGTTTATTATTATTATTATTATTATTATTATTATTATTATTATTATTATTATTATTTTTAACGATTGATATTACAATGACGAATGGTGTCATGGTTTTGTAAGTTTAGTAGCTAATCAAAAATATTTTGAAGTTTAATGACCAGCAATAAATATTATGAAAGTATAATGGTCATTGGCGCATTCAACCCGTGGTTTAATAATTTAGGACCAACATAAAATTCTCCTTCCTCACCAATCTCACGGAGTGCCTTTTTTTATGCAAACCAACCCAAAAACGTCACTCATCAGAAAATAGAAGGAAAAAGTTTCTGCTTTGGAGCTGCTTGGTCAAAGCTAGATATCGTCGTGCTTTATGGTTTGAATGTCGTGAAATTTGGATGGGAAGTACAAAATAGTGAAACACATTGTCTTCAAAATCGTAAAAGTTAAGATCGAAGGTCCAATCACTCATTTAGAAATAGCAATACGAACAACAACTTAGTCGGTGACATTTTTCCTAGTTGGATTTAGGTTGATTTCCAAGAACTTATTCTTGAAGTTGTTGTAATTGTGGATTGTTTTTAGTCGATTCCATCTTATTAGATGACAATAGTATTAGGTATAAAGATTTGTAATCTTGACATTGGTCGTGCCTCTAGTATTGACTAGAGAGTACTTTGTGAAATTTCGTCTTTAATAGTTAGTGTTATTTCTGGTGTGCCGAGGATATTGTATTTTCGATGTTTAAGTTGAAAGTCTCTAGTATTAACTAGTGAGAGAACGTTGTATTTCCACTATTGTCATAGTGGAGATATGATTGATGATGAAAAGCATTTACTAGCCTAGCAACGCATGAAATGGCATGATTTCTTGCATTTCGTGCTCTCATATGCAAAAAGATATCAAGTGATATGATACAAAGGTGAAGACCCTCTTGCTCCCTCCTCTTCTCTTTCTTGAGGTAGGGGCCTGGCTTATACAAGTTCTATATTGTTTGGTGGGAAGGTATATGGTTTGTACTTTTTAGTGGAAAGTTGGGTGCAAGGGCACAAATTAGGATAGTTCAATCCGCAATAAAGCCAATTTACATATGGAGTATCCACTGCCACTGATAGTTGGCTTGTGCTCGATTAGCATTTGTTAGCTTGTTTAGTATGATAGACTAGACAGTAAGTAAACTACAACGAGAAGTTAATCTTGCTCATTATTAATGTGATTTAGAGTCTATTTAATTAGTCCAATAACAAAATGACAAAAATACAAAGAAAAATTTATCTGAACATCGACTGCAATGTCAATGAAAGTTACTGAAGAATATTGTAATCTAAAGATGAAGTGGCATATTATAGAATAATAAGATATTAGGACAAAGACAAAACAGGAAAAAGTAATTTAAATCAATATCTGTTTCATGTCAAACACTAATATTGCCATACATTAATGTTGATTGGATTTTCCTACCCAGGTTAATTCTTAAAGTCGAAAAAATCTGCACAAGTTTAACGGAAAATTAGTATTATACCTCTGATAGATGCCTTTGCTTGATTCTAAATGAAACCACCACATTCAGACAAGGATCAGCTAATAGGGTTGTGCGAGTATCTTTTATCTTAGATTGTGTTTCTAAGATCATTGATCGATATTAACTAATGAGGGATTAGATTTACTAGAGTTGGATTACTGACAAACTTGATGAGGTAGGGGATTATGAGAGTTATCTTGAGCCAACAACTTATTACACGTTGCATGATGAAGAGAAGTATGACAAGTACACGTGAATGATAGATCTTCCTCTTTTACTCTCGAATAATGTTACATGTACAGACAAATGGGTCTACAGAATGCCACATGACAACATTTCATTAAATTTTGGACAAAAAACAAAGCTAAAACAATTAATTAAGTTCTGTCATTTTTGTTATGTTTTTGACTCAAAATGAGGTTAAGAATTCTTGAAGATGACGTGTTGGAATTAAACTTGGAAGTGGCAGACAAAGGAAAGGGGATCAAAGTGGTCGTTAAGTTGGAAAGAATAAATAAGAGTCCAAGAAGAAGAAGGAAACAAAAGCCCGAGAAATATGGGAAGTTGGCAGCGTCTTCTATGGTGCGGTCGCACTTAGCCATGCAGAATATTTAAGCTGCTGTGCCTTCACTTCCATGCGGCTGCATGGGTTTGAACCATGCGGTCGCATGGTTAATTCCGTCGCTTGCGGCGTGGTTTTTTCTTTTTACGTGATTTTTAACCTAATTTCCATATTTAACCTAATTTCTAGAGTTTGGCTCGTGTACTATAAATATAAGACTCCTCTTTCAATATTTGTGAAGCCAATTGTTGCAATTTTCTCCTTTCATAGTGATTGAATAAAACATTGTTCCTTCTGTCCGTTCTTCTTTTATTTCTTTACTTTAAATCTTATTCGTGGTATTTTGTGATCTTGTTAATTACTTCAAGTGGTGTTCATTAAATCTCAATTCCTATATTATTGGTCATCGATCCCAACAATGTTTGCACCTATAAAAATTGTTTGCAATTTATCTGTAGAAGTATCATTTCTGTTCTTTAGCTCCCATGTTGATTAATTTTTTTAATACTAAATCTAAATTGATAGCATTGGGTGCAATAAGCAGATAATTTACTCAAGCACTCATATCAGATTTGACAGATTTTAAGTCTAATACACTTTTCAAACCCTCCATTTTGATTGAATTAATAATCTTGAAATCACAGATTATACATGCAAACGTCACATTCTTGTGACTACCGTCAATTATAACTAAAATATTAAGATTCGTGGGGGGGTGGAGGAGCCCACCATTTTCATACCATAATCATTCAATAAGGACATAGCCCAACAGCGCACATTAAAAATACTTTAGAAGCTCCTTTTATATTCCAACTTTCAAGAATTTACACGACTGAAAACACTACCACAACTGCGTTCTTCTCTTCCTCTCAACAATGGAGTTTTTAGCTGCAATTTTTCAGCAGTTTGCAGAGATACTACTGCCCTTAATAAGGGCACCTATTATATCAGTGATATGCACTGTACTGGCCTTATTGGCTGGAGTTCTGGGGTACATATATGGACCTTATTGGGGTGTAAGAAAAGTGCCTGGTCCTCCAGCAATTCCATTCTTAGGACACTTGCCCTTGCTTGCAAAATATGGCCCTGATGTATTCTCCATTCTTGCTAAGAGATATGGTCCTATTTTCAGGTTTGTCCTTTGCGCTCGAGCATGTTTGGCTAATTCTAAGATATAAGTGAAATTACTTACCAATGTCTAAGCTTATTAAAACATGTTTGCAGCTTAAAAAAAAATGTTTTCCATCTTCAGAAGTTATTTCTTTTTGGCTTGGACAATCATGCTCAAAAAATTTCTTTTTTGGGTGGGGTAGGTCCATCTGCAATAGGATCAAGAATGTGTTGGAAAAAATGGGTTGAGTGGTTAAATTTGGCACAAAATTTGAGTGGGACTCGGTTGGTTATTTTGGAAGTTCAAGATTAATTTGTGTTCTCCTCCGTGAGAATATTGAAATCATGTATTTACTTGCCAAAAATGATGTTAAAGTGAATGAGAAATTGGAGCTTTGTCTCACATAGGAAAATTATGAAAGCAAATACCACTTTATATAGGATTGCACTTTGAAATGGTGTGATCATGTGTAGCATAGAGACTCTCTTTATGTGCGCGCGCATGAGGGGCAAATTGAACCGAAATAAGTTTCGAACGGGAAAATTGGCTCCCAAGTCGATATAAATTCCAAATCTGTTGAAACTCCAATATTCATTGTCCTTGTATACAAGTTAATAGCATTCATGGTTGACAACTTTACAAGAAAGTTAAGACTTCTTTAGAAAAGTTTTTCATAAAATAACTGGTTCAAATTGAAGAATAATGAGCATAAAATCGTTTCATTTCTGGCTAAGGTTGTGCTGTGGACTAGAAAATATTTTTGACAGCTCAAATATTTTCCAGCTGTTACCTTTTTCTTTTCTGAAAAGGGTGAATATAATTTGAAGAAAGAAATTGCGTCCACTCTTCAACTGATGCAGTAACATGCCTTTGTTAGACCAAAATTCCATGGGATGTGGGACCAGAGGGAGGTTCGTACCGAACGATTCTTGAAGAATAAGTCGACGAGTCATGGTTAGGGGTTCGTTGTTTATGTTTTAACGAGAGAACATACAATGTCAGTTAGCTTTGTTACTACTAAATTCTGTTCACCAGTTCTGAAACTAGGCTGCTAGTTAAATTGGATTTATGTGTGATGGGATTTATTTTCTAACTATGTTAACTAATAACTAGGCTGCTAATATAACGAAACCTGACTGAAATTGTTCTTTAAAACAGGTTTCACATGGGAAGACAACCACTAGTAATTGTAGCAGATCCAGAGCTTTGCAGAGAAGTTGGAATCAAAAAATTCAAAGACATTCCCAATAGAAGCATTCCTTCTCCCATCGCGGCGTCCCCTCTTCATCAAAAGGGTCTATTCTTCACCAGGTATTGTCTAGCTTATGATCTTAGTACACTGTCTTCATCTTATTTCTGTATCCAATTCGTCAATCGTGTTACACTGAATGCAACGAAGAAACGTTCTTCATTATTCACCGAGTCTTGTACGAATTTAAAGTCTACAACTGAAAAAGATACATGTCAACTTTTTGTGTGGGACTTGGTGGATAAGAAAGAGAAGTGTAATATTCCTTATAGTAAGAATCTATGGAGGCAAATGGGTGTAGCTCTCACGTTGAGGGTGAACTAACATAAATTAGTACATTATTTTACGTGTTTCTGATTTCGTTTTGTTTGTTATTGCTCTCGAAGTTGGAGATTAAGATTTAATCCATAACAATTTGCAGGGATTCAAGATGGTCAACCATGCGAAACACGATTTTATCCGTCTACCAGCCATCTCACCTTGCAAAGTTGGTGCCGATGATGCAGGAGTTCATTGATTCAGCAACAGACAATCTAGACGATAAAAAAGATTTCACTTTTTCTGACCTCTCCCTCAAATTAGCCACAGATGTCATTGGACAAGCTGCTTTTGGAGTGAATTTTGGCCTGTCAAATTCTGTTAACAAAATGAACAATCAACATGATGACAATGAAGTCCAACAATTCATCAACCAACACATTTACTCCACAACTCAACTTAAAATGGACTTATCGGGCTCCTTTTCGATCATATTAGGCCTGCTCGTTCCTGTTCTTCAAGAGCCATTTCGCCAGATTATTAAGAGAATACCAGGTACTATGGACTGGAAAGCAGATAGAATAAACAAAAACTTGAGTAGCCGGCTTGATGGGATAGTCGGGAAGAGAATGGAAGAAAAGGATCGTGGCTCGAAGGATTTTCTGTCACTTATACTAAGTGCCAGAGAGTCGGATACACTTTCCAAGAACATCTTCACACCGGATTATGTTAGTGCAGTAACATACGAGCACTTGTTGGCTGGATCAGCAACAACTTCATTTACATTGTCTACTATAATTTATCTTGTTGCGGGGCATCCAGAAGTTGAGAAGAAGTTGCTCGAAGAGATTGATACTTTCGGTCCCCATGATCAAATGCCTACTCCCCCTGATCTTCAATTCAAGTTTCCTTATCTTAATCAAGTAGGTATCAGTTCAACATATTTCATTTCTTCAAACTGTGCCAACAGAGTTAAAATGAGAAGATATAACAATTTTGATTGAATGGTGAATTTTGTGATGGATATTTACTTGAAACTGCAGTCATCTTGAAAATAGACGAATTCTCATTGCATTCGTAATTTTTGAGTGCAGGTGATTAAAGAAGCAATGAGATTCTACACAGTGTCTCCATTAGTTGCGAGGGAAACATCAACTCAAGTAAATATTGGAGGTTACAATCTCCCAAAGGTGCATATAACGTTAAATTTTATATTTTTCTTCTTATTTTGGACATAGGGAATCTGATAACAAGAATTATACTTAAATGAGCAGGGGACATGGGTGTGGTTGGCCCTTGGAGTCCTCGCTAAAGATCCTAACAACTTCCCGGAACCTGAGAAGTTCAAACCAGAGAGATTTGATCCCAATTGTGAAGAGGAAAAACGAAGACATCCTTATGCTTATATTCCGTTTGGAATAGGGCCTCGTGCATGCATTGGACAAAAATTCTCCTTACAAGAAATTAAACTATCACTCATTCATCTATACAGAAAATACGTATTTAGACATTCCCCACAGATGGAAACTCCTTTGCGACTCGAATATGGAATAGTTCTTAACTTCAAGCACGGATTAAAGGTTCAAGCCATCAAACGTTCATGAAAGTCACGAGAGATGAATGTATGAATTCATGTTCTCATGTGAATGATACAAATGATCGTGAAATTTTTGTAATTCTACAATACTTAGAGAGCAGTTTGAGCTGACAGCATTTCTGGCTAAGCTTATAAGTTACTTAAAGTTAACTTTTTGGAAAGTGCATCTTTATATACTTTTCAATATTATTCAGTACTATTTGGTTACAGTTTTTCACACGATAACAATCTGTTCTTTGTTAAATATTTGCAAGAACCTGGATAAATAGAAGCTCAAAAGCATTTATGTGGTTCCAATATCATAACTTAAGTTTTCTACATGATGCAGAATTCAAAAATCACATCTCAAGAACCTCATTAGTACTATTTGGTTACAGTTTTCACATGTAAACAACAAGCTGTTGAAGACTCGCAATGAATATTAACAATGTTTTGGCGCTAAAGTCCAAGTATGGTAAATTATAATTACAACATAAATATGGAAATAAATATCAAGCCGTAATCTTTGTGATCTTATTGACATCCCTCTCAAATCGATGCTGGACGATCAAGAAACATTAATTTGTGGACAAGAAACTGATGCCGCAGACAAGTCATTGTCTTGGTATACACATCTGTAATTTGAGCTTCAGTGGGAATATGCAGAAGAGTAATAATGCGACCATCATAAACTTCACGAATAAAGTGACAATCCATTTTGATGTGCTTAGTGTGCTCATGAAATACGGGATTAGTAGCAATTTGAATGGCACTAGTGTTATCAACATTAAGTGTAGGGTCAAGTTGAAGGCAATCGAGCTTTGCTAGCAGATCTCAAAGCCAAATAAACTCAGAGCAGGCAAACGACATAGCATAATGTTCATATTCAGTAAAAGATTTAGAGACACGATCTTGTTTCTTACTGCACAAGGAAATGAGGGCACTCCCAAGAAACGTACACCCGAACTGCTTCGATCACACACACGGAATGACAAACCCGCACACAGTGATGCCATCAATCGCAAGCTCACACACACAAAGGGATGGGACGCTATAACTGCATATAGAGATGCCGGCAATAGCATCGCTCACATCCACAGTAACGCTGAAGACTGCGCCAATCACCGCAAGAAGAAACAAACCCCGTTGACCAAAGACCAATGGAGATAACCTAGGACTCGGCGATTTCAAAGGTAGGCTCTGATACCATAAAAATGTTCTGGCCAAATTGAATTTCCCGTGTAGGAACTTTGTACTATATAGAATCAATATGTACAACTAAAGTCTAAGTATGGTAAATTATAATTACAAGATAAATATGGTAATATATATCAAGCCGTAATCTTCGTGATCTTATTGACAAATATTACATCCTCGTCTTATTGAAATGAGCAATTCTCTCTATCCCTCAACTCCCATTTGTAACAACTGTCGAATTCTTAAGAAACTGAAGCTCATCCATAGACTGTCTTTGAATTCTATGATTTCTCTGATTGGCCTTGGTAGCTTCTGTCATGTTCATATAACTTGGCCTTATATTATTGCTCTCTTCTGTTCTATCTGATGCAAACATGGTGTTTCCAGAAACTGGAGTTGTAGATGTGAAGATTGAAGATGAAGCCAAGCTTTCTTTATATCAGAAATCAGAACTTGGGCTTGAAGATGAGTGAATAGTTTGTCCAACTCGGGGAGGCTTTACTAACATTCGCATTGTGACATTGTTCTTTCTGACTCTCACTGAATTAGGTTCAGACAATCTCAAGAGACTGCCCTTGATGGAATCTGCACAGGTCTTAGATAGAGGAGTTGCGGTCTGAGATTGTTCCATAAATCTGCTTCCCCAAGGCTTTGCCGCCATCCGACGTTCTAGCCAACTCCATCCTCAGCTTCTTATTGAACTCGTAACTTTTAAGAGAGGGAATAGAAGCATTCGTATGTATAGTTTGACTCGAATTCCACCACAAGAATAATAAAGAGAATAATTATATTTGTTAAAAGTGAGAGGTAATACACAGTGTTGAGTGACTAGACATAGGTGAACAGTGTAATAAACAAGAGTTTGATGTCAGTTTCATTTTTAATACTATACTTTGCCTTCTTAAACCTCACCTTTTGAGCAAGAGAATATGCAGACGCCCTTTTTCTCTTAGCAGCTCCTGCTTGCCTCAACTCTATCTTTGTCTTAACCTATTCCAGTGTTCCTCTACTGTCGCACCACCCCTCGGCCCTCCTGAAAAATCCAATGAGAATGAAGTGTGTACTTGGTTAATGTGAAAATTTGTCAAAATTATGACAGAAAGACTATTGCAATGGATGTGGAGACGCCAAGATGAGAGCATGCCAACACATGATTTATTAAAAAGTAGGATATGGATGAGTTTTTATAATTCTTTAAAGATATATATGTATATTGTATCTTTATTTTAAAAGAAGGACACAGCATGGCACGTTGGATGTGTCCTCGAGTGTTCAAAGAGTAGCCGTGTCCAACCTTTCGAACACAGAGATGTCACCTCAGTAGGTGTGTCTATGCTTCATAGAAAACACTTATCTCGAATAGCCAATACATGCTACATCAGCTTGTTTCAAGCGATCAGCCTGGCTGTGGCATTCATTGAGAATCTGTTGCACAGCCTGTCCCTCCTATACATACGTACACGACGAGCTCTTACCCAAGCCTGTACCCGAACCAAAGCTTGCATGCACCTAAGAGTAATGACAGCCTGCTTCTGGACCTACCGGCCACGAACTATAGCTTGAAGTCTCACCAATCCTTTCAAAGCCATTGAAGCTCTTCTAGCCTGATATCATTATTCAGCAACAGTTGAGGAACTAAATACTCAGGTCAAGATTAACACCTTAATCACAGAACAAATACATCCATACGAAACACAATTGTTGAGCAAGGGAATTCAAATAGTTAACAAGTAAGTTTTCTAGTTTGACATATCCTGTCCACTTCTTAAAACATTGAAATGAGCTTCAGGCATCCGTAAATTGAAGTGCTCAGGCTCATGCAATGAAAAAAAAAGAACCATCATTTGAATCACCTCTTGTGAAATATTTAGGCTACGAAGGCCGAGCGGTCAAGGAAATGAAGGCCAAGCGGTCAAGGAAATTGTCTAATACCATATATATTTAAATATTGTTAGACATTATGTTGTCAAACGACCTCCCGGGCGATGATGAGAACCAATTTTATCAGTCGACATGAATGACTGAATGATAATTCAACACCAAATAATGGATGAACCGACCAAACGTTGCTTTACCTATTGGACGGCTAATACTCTTTGTGGCTTGTTGATTCTTTCCATTGGCAGTTAACCCTAGTCCAGCCTACTTACCATATCCTTACTTACCTTATGTTGGCCACTTGACTTAATATATATATTGGTGTTTTTCTCCCTAGTCGAACCCGTCCATTAGTTGAAGCCATCCATTGAACCCGTGAGCTCCAAGAGAGACTGCCATGTTCTTCTGCCTTCTTCTTCTTCGTGATTTCTTCTCCATGCCAATTGCTTGAGCCTTTGTGACTCTTACCTGTGTGGTATCCATCCTAAGTGTGTGGATTGAATCAACAAAGCAAGAGAGGAAAGCAACCATAGGAGAGGAGGCACCGGCGGGTTGGTGACTTCGGTTTTGGTGTTGAATTCGATGTTTAATGGTTAACTGAGCCCGGAAATCACTTTGAGCAGCTTAAGGAAGATCCTAACATCTGGTATCAGAGCTTGGATAGCAAAAAATGGCTCAAAATCGGCTGACTTTCGCATCTTCAACCTAGAACCCGAATCTGAAAATCTGCAATTACTCACAAACCAAAGCTCGGTTGGACAAACGGAGGCCATACCCATCATCAGTAGGTCGAGGTGCTCCCGGGAAGGCGGCGGCGCGTGGGGGATTTTCCGACGACGCTGTCTTCAGGTAACTTGCTTGTTTTGATCTCCTGAACGCGCTGATATACTTTGTTTTGTGTTTCAGGTTACACAGAAAAAGTTGGACGATTTTGCCCTTTGGTACGACGCCGACTGAAATTCAACAGCAAGCTCGTTTTTCTCCACTCTACGGACTCAGATAGGTCCGCTCTGGTAAATTGATTTAATCCATTTAAATTCAGCAATAGCAAGATCATTGTGTGGGGTGATAGTTAGGTTTTGGGGATACCGTGAAGGGGTAATCATTGCTTGTGCTAGAATTAGGATTACTTGCGTTAATTGAGTATTTGTTCTTTTAATTTAAAGTGCTTGTTATTTCTTGGTGGACGTAGCGTTTAGGTTCATTGTTACCTTTGCTAGGAATTAACAAAATATTACCTTATCACGTTTCCCAATACTACTTCGTGTGGTTTAATTAGTGTGTTAACCAATGACAACACATAATTTTGATTTGGAAATTTTTAACGGTAAAGATGACTTCTCTATCTAGCAACAAAAGATGAAAGACATACTAGTCCAACAAAAGGTGTGAAAAGCCATCGAAGGTAATTTTGCACCTGATATCTCAAAAGAACAAAAAGAGGAAGCCGATGAGCTTGCCTATACCTCAATAATATTACACTTGTCCGATGCTGTCTTAAGAAAAGTGGGAAAACTAAAAACCACCAAAGAACTTTGAAAAAGACTAGAAGACTTATACTTGCTTAAATCTACACCAAATAAACTCTACCTACTCGAACGATTCTTCAGCTTTAAAATGGATCCTTCAAAGGATCTCGACGACAATTTAGATGTATTTAATAAATTGGTGCAAGATATTGTCAATTGTGACGAAGCCGTGTCTGAAACCTATAAGGCCATTATCTTGTTCAATTCAATCCCGGACTCTTATAAAGAAGTTAAAAATGCCATTAAGTATGGTAGGGACACGCTAACACCTGAAATTGTCGTAGATTCTCTTAGGAGTAAGGAGATGGAAATGAGGGCTGAAAAACAGGATAGGAGGAGTGGAGAGTTGCATATGATGCGGGGTAGAACACAATTTAGGCAAGCCAGTCATGATGGATACCAAAGTAGTGCCGAATCAAGTAGTAATAGTTGGAAAAAGAAGGGGAATGGTAGACCTAGATCAAAGTCTAGAATTAAGGGTAGAAAATGCTATGGCTGTGGAGGCACAGGGCATTTTATAAAAGACTGTCATAAAAAAAGGAAAACAGAAGGTTAAGGAAAGAGATGAGGTAAATGTGTTATCCTCTACCTCCGATACTGAAAACGGTGAAGTCTATGTGATCACTAGTCCAGTCG